GTACGAAAATCGTCTATATGAAGCAACTTGTATCCAAAACGTAAGTTTAGATATAAGTCACCTGCTTGTGACGACATTTTAAAAGAAAGACACAATGTTAAGGCCTCGTTTTACACAAAGTAGACATTATAAAACGCCAAAAATGTCAATTAAAGCCTACATGTACGTCATGTACACTTTACTTTTACGATTTCTTAGACAGTCAGACCAACTTATTTATATCATTAGGGAGCAAAAAAACTTTCTGTAAACATTAATTTCACAGCTGCATTCACTACAGTACCCACCACCAGGCTCGTAAGTTGCACCTCACCTGATACAGCACACGTGTCCCTGGGGACACAACCGACCACGCCCTCTCTCGCGGTGGAGCACACCGATCCCCAAGGACAAGAAAGGACCGCAGGAGGGAGCCCTTGTTCTTGATAACCCAGGGGACACACAGAATAAGCTGCAGACTCACAGGGTGTGGCACAGGACATCCCTACTCCCACGTCAGAGCAGCTGTCGGCAACTAAAACCAAGAGTTAGCGTCAATTTCACAAGAGTTTGTATTTCACCAACGTGTTTGGTTAAGCTTAGTCGGCTGAACTCAGGCAGCCTACTACCTGACGCCGGCTATATATGTCACGTCAGTATTTGGGCGTTTCATGAACGATTGGTCTGCAATAAATGTAGTTTATATTAATAAATGTGCTATTGTCATCAATTAAAACTTTCTCCATCTTCGCGCAGACAACCACATTTTACTCAAAGTCTAGGTTTAAAAATCGAAAGCAAAAGAAACAGGTGAGCTACCTTCCTATGTATTTTGCAAATGCTGCTGGGATTCAAGACTAAGTCGTTTTTATGGTACTGGGCTTAGTCTCTTTCACAGAGTGAGGAATATTACCCACTTCTTAAAAGGTTTGAAGAAAAATTATATAAAAGCTAAAGGCCAACCTATTTCAGGCCACATAATCACAAAATATGAACCCAGGGGCAGACGCATTTTAATGGTGAGATAATAAAGAATTACTTGCCTTTTATTCCGTTCCCAATGAGGTAGCTGAGTGATCTCCTGAATGGGAAGAGAGCTGACCGTGACGCATACATCACCATCGCCATCGATAATGCAACGATAACCAAACACAGAACCAGCATCGCACAGCAAGCACCAACTTTGTTCCTCGGCCATCTTCCTCTCTTCTCACCGACCCCAGCCTTGGCGTTCTCCTCCGTGTCAATTCGGACTTTCAGGCATTTTTGGCTGCGAGACGCTGAGGGCGCCGTGCAAGCACAGGTGCCGGGCTGGCAGGTGCACGGGCGCGCTGCCGATTTGACGAGACCCTGGGCCTTCGAAAGGATTTCTGACAACTCGCCAGTGCGTAATAGACCACTTTTTGAATCTATAAAATAGCTCGCCATTTTCTCCTTGACGCGATTCCGCGTGTTGAACTTCTCCTCGTTAGAACCTCGGGCGTTGTGCGAGGACTGAACTGTCACCAACATTTATATGTCTCACTCTGAGGTAGGGCGACAACTGCTCAGCATGAGTACATCTCACTGGCTGTTCCGGGATAGCTCGATATCTTTGCCTAATGAGTTAATCTCCCTCTCTGTCACTCTCTCTCCATCCCTGTCTGTCCAGGCGCCCTGTTTTTTAGGACCGATGGCTGCCATAGAATTTACAAAGTCTTGGCATTTCTGATCAATTCTTTGGTACAATTTCCCGACCATTGACTGAGGCCCTTTGTGGATATAAACATTTGTTTTTTTTTTTTTTTTTGCTCCTCTATTTTTTCTTCCTCTATTTTGCTTGTGATTTCCAAATATTTCAAATCTTACTTTTGGGTAAGGTACAAGAACAATTAGCATAAATGGGGGACAAGGGCGGTTTGACTTTAACGGATAGAAAAGTAGCTGATTTGTCTCTTTTTTGTTCTTATTTATGAGGTTTAGGGAAGAGAAGAGAGAGACGAGCTAGAGGCTACCTCCGAATTTAGTTATAGAACTAAAGAATTTAGCTAGCATTTGTATGAAAATCAAGCTAATTACAAAAAAAAAATAAATAAATAAATAAATAAAATAATAATTATTATAAAATAAATAAATAAATAAATAAATAAATAAATAAATAAAAGGTATGAATGATTCTTTACTGTTTGTGTAAATATATCAAACGTATAACCATTGCGGTCTCTGGATTTTGGAAAAGAAATTATTTTGCTGCCTCTCCTGCCATTATATAGTAAGATCAGACTGATGAGAAAGCTGTTATGTAAGATGGAAGGCCAGTAGACGGGAGTTCGTGTTCACTGGGGTCGAAAAATAAAACGCCCTTTTGGCCGGAAACGATTCGCTCTTTATCACAATGTATTTAGGTTCTACACGTGTACGACATTTTCCAAGCTGGGTCATACAAAGGGATAAAAAGGTCCACTCTTTCAGATCCCCTTTCTAAGATTACTGCCTTGATATATCTAATACTGGTTGGTATATCTAACGTATGCTTAACCTTCTCATACTTTCTAAAGCTCCCCCCCCCCCAACTGCCCATTACCCACGAGGGGCGGCGGCATCATAAATCGAAAATTTCAACCAGGTTTTACCGATTTATGTATGGTAATATAACTAAAAAAGATATATATCTCCTGAAACCTTGTCTCTTTTTTTCATGAATACCAAGTAATATACTTAATAAAAATCATTTCAGAAAATAAATGTAAAATGATAATTTTTTAAAATCAAATTTGTAAAAAAAAAAAAAGCTCAGCGTTTTTTGTTTTTTTTTTCACTCGCTTTCTCGCCCTTTCTTTTCTACATAGTACTTCTGCCACGACGTGTTTTTGGCTAGAAGCGTATAGGCAACTGTTCGACGTCGTTTTTATTTCTCGAAGGAAGCGGTGGTAATGTAGAATTGTTTTAAAATATTTTTTATTTACTGTTCGCCCCAAAGGCCAAATTTCCTTAAGATAACGTACTCATCATTTTTGAAAAGGTTTTCTGCACATTTCGGCGAGACCCCCTTTAAATCCATTACTTATTTAAAAAGGAAGACAATTTTTATGCTTTTATAACAAATTTATAACATAACACAAGGTGCATACATGTACATCAATTTGGGAAAACAGCAACAACAGAATATTGTCAAGTTCTTAAATGTGAGAGAATTGTAGATATCTATATTCATCATGAGGCTAGTTTTAATATTCCTGAGTGTCCAACTCACTTCTTTATTTTAAATGTCAATCATTTTAATCATTTAGCTATTCTCATGCCAAAGGTTCATAATATGGCAACCTTGGCACAATAAGTTCAGTAGAGGTCAAATACCAAAGAGCTTTATAGACAGTTTTGAAATATACCGGCCTAAGTGAACAATGAAGTTGAGATCTATGAGTTGAAAGAAGCATCTGGCCCCTATCGAAATCAATGTGATGATTATTGTGCAGATATACTACAAAGTAATTCTTGTCGATTCGACGATTTAATGAATCCAGCAATGTTAACTGCTAATTCTTGTCCCGTTCTATAACTAAGGTCGACTTTCTTTGACCATCGATCCTACTTTTTTATGGGCTGTTGTTGGGTTTTCCTGTCCGTTCCTGGTCAACATCCACGCGGTTAAGGAGCGGAGCAGCTACTGGTACAGCGCCACCACCTATGGTAATGTGAAGTTAATGAAACACTTATTCACATAAATTTCAGTAAATGGACGACAATTTAGACATCAACAGAATGGAATTGAGAAATAATAAAATGGTGTTCAATTACACATCTTTGAAATTTGATTCATAAATGAACAGAAACAAAAAGGTTTGTGATTTTTACTCTCATTTTTTAATCACATTCTATTCAGAAGAAGCAAAATAAAAACTGCTTTATATTAAAAGTCATTTATAAACTTTGATACGAATAACACGTTACATGCCTTACCCTTATTATAGCAGGCGCCTTTATCCACGCACCCAACCACGCCCTCTTTAGGTGCGGAGCAAACAGTTCCTCGGGGGCATCGGAGAATGGCTGGGGGCAGTCCATTCTCCTGGTAACCTTGGGGACATACTGAGTAGACGGGAGATTGGCAGTTGGCTGGACAGAACATCCCTGCTCCCAGGTCAGCACAGCTGACGATATCGGCTGAAAAATAAATCATATTTACTGGCGTTTAGTCTTTAAAATGAAAATAACACTATTTTATGATTCTTTGAACAATCTTCGACTAAGTTAACGCTTGGCTAAACTTCGTTTAGTAACTCACTTTCTTCTTTAGACAAACTATATTGCCTGAAAGTCAGCATTGCTCTTTTCCAAAGCATATTTGCCTACCATCTTGCCGGGGTCTTCAACCTGTTATCAATTTTCCCTTAATACGACTTTGAAACACCTAGAAGACAATGTAACGCATGCCTACCTTGAGCGCCGTATTCTACATTTTCATTATTACAAGTGTAGGACATGTACGTCACTGTCATGATAAGCGGTAGCAGGAGCAGAGTAACCGTATACGTGTAGCACGACTTGAGGAAACCGCCCCCCAAGCAACGTTTACAGCATCCCTGCTTGTTAGCCTTGTTTGGCTTGATTTTCAGTTTCAGAGGCCGTTGATTCTCCGGGTCTGCACACCCAACGTCGCCCTCCACAGCGTAGCATTCGCTGTCAGGCTTTGGTGTGGAGCTGTCGACGATGCCGGTCATGTTGTCCCAGTCTGCTACTGTGGTCGCCCCGTGACTTGGTCTGTGGTCTTGGCGTGACTGCGGTGAAACGTGCGCCGTGTCCAGTATATATACCGGACAAAAGTGATTACTTGTCATCCAGTGTTTGAGACTTGTCACACAGATTTTGAACACTAGGAACTGCGTACGCCCATCCGCTAAAGCCTCCTGTGAAAAGCCTACAGTAGCGCTGCGTAAGGTTCCTACTATTCAAAATCTCCATGGTTAGTCGTCACCTACGTCAGGCATACGATGCGCCCGTAAAAATGTCTGATTTCCATGCATAAATTTGAATAAAATGCGGAATGCTAATGTAAGTAAATTAATTATTGAACTACAGTAGGTTGTTTTTAAAGCATATTCTACCTGTGTGTTAAACTTTATTGTTTTCTCATTGACGACTTGGGGGAAAATGAACAGGCTGACTTTATTAATCCATGCATGCTGCCATTCAAATGAGAAACAAATGAATACTGTATTCTATTGAAAACTTCTTTGTAAGAAACCTCAAGGTGTGCGTAAAATCAGCTTTAAAATATTTTGATTTTGTGTTAATCTTTTTGAATACCTTATATCTTTATAGATGTCGCAGACTGTGGGCATTTTAGTCTGCGTTTCATATTTACGTGAAGCTTCAAAGCTTGGCCCGGGATGGGGGTCTCAGCAGGGAGAGTGCGGGGGGGG